ATTCAGAAGGGTGGATACCGGCAGGGAATCCGAATAGGGAGGACACAAGGAACTTCCCTTAAGCATTCAGAAGGGTGGATACCGGCAGGGAATCCAAATAGGGGAGGACATCTGATCAAGGTCAAGCAAGCAAGGCCACAGCCACTCCCAGTCGGGGGCCAGGGCCCATGGCGCCCACACATAGGACCACCAGCCTAAGGATGGTCCTTCCCCATCAATCACTAATTAAGAAAATGCCTTAGAGCTGGATCTCATGGAGGCATTCTCTCAATTGAGGCTCCCCCTTTTAGATAACTCCAATGTGCTAAGTTGACCTAAGACAGCCAGCACAGGGTATCACTTAAGAAAACAGTAGTCTCAAGGACTGCTTATCTGAAGCTCTCCTATCTATTTAAGGAGGGATAGAAAGACACCCAGGCCATGTGTCTGCAGCAGGCGATGGTGACATGTCTGTTCAGACTTGCCTTAGCTGTGTCCTGCAGCTCCTGATGGGAAGCAATTTAAATATAAGTTCTTGATTCCAGAAGCTCAACTGTGTGGACAGTGGTCACACTTGACAGGCTCATCTGTTACAGCGCACCACTTATATATTTCAAATGGACAGAAAATAGCGTTGTAAGCAGCACCTTAGGATCTACTTACTGCCTTTGAATGGGAGCCTTCTTCCTAGTATCAGAAATCTGTAAGATGTATTGAGAAAATTTACTACTGTGGGAAATGAAAAGTGATGAGATCCGGTGGGGGAGGCCTCTGGCTGATTAATTGCTGTCACACTGTCCTTCCAGTGACTTGGGGAGCTTGTGTTCTCTTTCAACATAATGAAGCCCTTACAGGATGAGCCTGACGCTGTAGGAATGCAGTCACCCCACCATCACTGACACGGTTCTTGGGTTCACTCCCCACCACTCCACTGAAACTATTAACACTGTTCGTATTCATTTGTTACAAATTTTACCAAGGGATTGCCTCAGGATATTTAAATCCACACTGTTTTAAGGATGCATTTGATTTTCATAACTGCTCCTGGAGGCCCAGTTATTCCTTCTCTATCTTGTGGCATGACCTTTTTCACCCCAGCTAACCACGCCCTCTCCTACTCCCTTCTAGCTTGTGTCCAGTTCAACCCTGGGGAGGAACTTCTACTCCTACGTCTGTGGCAGCTGCCCCTGGAGCTGCTGTAGGAAGCTTGGACCCTCGTCATCACCAGGTTTTTAATGCGGTGCTATTGAGGGTTCCCAAATTCCAGAGTCATTTACATGCTTGCCTTCACAAACTCAAGCTATAACCGACTTTTGATGTGCGAACAAGCTCTCCTGGAAAGAACCAGCTGACTGCGTAGAACATTGGGGATGTGGAGAGGCTGGGTGTTGTAAGGCCAAAGTCTGATTATAATTTGTCTGGGGCCATCTTTAGCTCCCTAACATCCTAACAAATTAAAAAATATCCTTTGAAATAAATTAAAAACAACAACCACACAGTTTTTCGGTCAAAAGGCTCAGTGCATTGTCAGACAGCATCTGAGGCCTATGGCAGAGTTCTCCCATCTCCCCATAACCCGCCTACCTGATGGACCCACCAGTGTATTTGAAAAGTGCCTTGATTCATAACTGACTTTCTTTGTTCTGTTGCTATAGAAAGTTCATAAAATTGCTACCTCATTGGAACATGGAATTTGGGGTAACTAAATGTGTGCTCCTGGGCAATGGTCACTCACATCTGGCTCCAGAATAAATTATTGCTTTTCCTTTGAAATGAGGGCTGTGTTTTTATGCTGACGGAGCTAAGTTTGCTGTTGGGCATCTCTCTCATCTTGGCCAAAATCACTCCATCTTTCCAGTTTTCAGGCCCAAACAACAGATGCCACACTCTGATGGGTGCTAGTGCTCATTACTTGTTGGCTAGATTTTAGTCATAGGTTCTAATCCTCCAGCTCTGCCCCGTCCCAAAAGGGCATCCAAAACAGCCTTTCCTAACCACTATCGGCTCATGCCCTTCACTTGCTGAAAACAAATGGCTCCTTGCTGCAAAGTAAGAGTTCTTAAAATGGCCCCATTATAATACCCGTGTGTCTCCTGCTCATCATTGTGAGCATCCTCCACAGGGCTTTTCTAGTCCTGCTTTTCTCTATTCCTCCAAGAAGGCATTGACTAGCTTTGCTCCAGACCATCTTTTCTCAAGTGTTCAGATCCTGATCAGCTTTCATGATAAAAGTAAAATATTTTCCCCCTCCTGAGCACAATTCTGATGTATTTCCTATGCAGTGTTGTTAGGATTCTGCCACTCTTCCAGCTGCATGACCACTCGTGTGCAGTTCAGTAGCTAAGAAAGGGGTCTTGCGCCTTACTTCATCCGTTCCTGGGTGATTATGTAATGCATGAGGTGTGGCCATGCGATCTGCGCATGCGTGGCGTAGCTCCATAAGCCCATCTGCTCATGTGCAGGGGAATCCTTAAAAAGCTGGACACAGACTCCTCCCCTCTCCTTCTGCCCCCACCCCCACCCCACTCTCTCTCCTGCACGTGTCTCTGCCCAGGCCTGGCCACGCTCTCTTCCGTAGCTTCCCTTCCTCCTAATAAAGTTCTGATACTGGGTTTTGTCCTGTCTCAGACCTAAAACCAACAAGTGTGACAAAGATGTCTCTCTCACAAAGGACAAAGAAGTTTGCTTGCTATCCACATAAAGCATTCAGGCTCCCTGAGTTTGGGGTTACTCAGCTATGACAGAAATCCACTGGGGATGCAGCAGCCACCTGGTCCCTCTGGCGTCACCCACTGGATGGAGGGCGGAGGGAAGTGCATGCGGCAAACCGGTAGGTAGCACATGAGAAACGGCGTGTTTTTCTTAACTCTGGAGTATCTTGCATTCTGCCGGAATTCACCCACACTGCAGGCTAAATTTGCGAACAAGATGGGTTGAGTCTCAGCTTTCTGCTTACTTCCCATCTATATGCTCCCCAACTCTCCCTCCAGGTCAGTTACACATCTGTTCATCGACACTAGAACACGTAAGGGACGGTGTTGGTTAAAGCCTCGCATTTCTCATTGGCCTGAAATACCCTGCTCCCCCAGATCTCTCTTAGCTGTTCCACCCTTCAGGGAGCAGACCACTTACAATCACTCTTCCCTACCTTAATCTTCCGGTTTCCTTTATTCAACTCAATTTTTTTTTTCTGTTTCAGCTATCAACTTCTACAGAAGGCAGGGCAACTGGATGCCTTTACAGAACCAGATAATAAGCATTTTAAGTTTGAAGGCCTTAAGGTTCCTGTTAAAATGGCTTCATTGTAGTGGGAGGGCAGTAACAGGTAATATGCTAATAAAGCGGGGATCACTGTTTTAGTAACACAACTTACAAAACAAAACAAAACCTGGCAGCCTGTCTGCGGATTATAGATGGTCAGTACCTGTTACAAAAATCTTCTCAGCTTCTCATACTGGCCAACAAGCTTCATAAAAGGAGCAATCTTGTTATATTCATGGCCCAAACTAGCCTGGAACCATGCAACAGGGATCTGCCAAGAACGAGAGAGAGAGAGAGAGAGAGAGAGAGAGAGAGAGAGAGAGAGAG